TCACACAGATGGAGAATCGACACATTCTTGTGTAACCACATGATTAACGGTAAATGCAGCGATCGGCTCATCACCGACTGACACTTTACAGCATTCCTTCGTGGAAAAGTTTGATTATATTCACAAGTTTATCTGGAAACCCAGATATTTTCTTATCCACGGTAATTTCCGAAAATTGAAGATCTTGTCCGTTGTTGTGTTACCGGACCTAAAACTATGCACAATAGCTTTCTAATAGAACTTCCTCCCTGCTTTTCCTGCGTCTCTTCAGGATAATTCTGATCAGGATCCTCCCCCCAAATGAGAGTAGTGAGATACGTGGTGGCTGCTGCACTCACTCCTGACGATAAGAGAGTAAGATGCAGAGTCGAGAAAAACTTCCTAAATTTTAAGGCTTATTATAGTTATTATAATTATTATTATTATTATTATTATAATCATTATTACCAACTCTTTTCCCTTCCGTTGCGGTCAAAGGAGATCATCACCCTCCATGGGAATGTTACGTGACGTATCATTTACCTCTTTAACAAGATTTTTTACGCCGATTCCACACAAATCTAGTGACTACACACATAACTGCAGCTACCATAGTGTACGATACAGCAATTATATTAGTCTGAGATGCTGAATTTTCTGGCTTTCCGTTCTTGTGGTGTGTGGGAGTAGGAGTTGCTGTGGATAAATTATAAAAAAATATTTACATTTTTCTGGAGCCTGTGGTCTTAGATTTCAAGCAGGGAAAACAACAGTTCTAATAATGATAACAACAACGCTAATAACAATCATAAGTAATGGTATTGAGTCCTATTACCAATTAATCATAAAAATTACAATTTCCGAGAAACGAAGAATAGCAAAGTTATGAAGGAGAGGGAAATTTGCATTTAAAGGCTGACAAAGGAAACCAAGGTTGTGATTGGTTGATTTAAACTACAACTTTGAATTTGATTGGTTGATTTAAAATTTAATTCTGAATATGATTGGCTTATTGAACGGTTCGATAAAAAATTGTCCGAAATTAGTAGAAACTAGAAGTTTTTTAATCTCATCACAATCGAGGAAATTGTAATTTTTTTCATCATAATTATGATGACAATGATAATTGCAATAATTTAGAATTATCAATTGACAAAGGATGAAAAGACAAGAAAAAAAGCATAAGAATAAGGAAGAAGTGTAAAGGATGTAGACTCATTTTAAATCCAAACCTTCGCGATTTTGATCCACAAGTGAATTCTTTGTAGTTACCGTGTTCAAGATCTATATTTTTCCCTTTTATTCCAGAAATATCTAACCTTTTTATAATACGGCCATCCCTGATTTGCTTCTTCCGACGCTGTTGTTTGCAGCACACTGATATTTCGCATAATCTTCCATCTTCACTCCATTTATGAAACGCCGGCTACGAATGGTTCGGTTGTCTTGAATGACACGTGCCCTGGGTTAGACTATAAAGGATACGAAGCATTGTCCTTTATCCAACGGATTGTTGGCCACGGGAGACCCCTAGCAGTGCAGCTTAAGGTAACATCGGAACCGATCAGGACAATTTGGTTCTTTGGAGCCTCAACGATCTCAGGTTTTTGGGCATCTGCAAATGGACAGAAAGAGAATTTATTTGATCTTATTTGGATGCATACAGCACTATGAGTTGTATCATTTGTGGCCTTTCTTTGGGATTTCGTGAAAACCGTTTACGAACGCTTTTAGGAGAATCTTGATAACGAGAGGACAAAGGATGTGCGGGGGCGGGTGATACTGTAATGAGAACGATGAAATTTTTTCTTTTTTAATTCTTTGGACTTGCAACGATCTCAGGTTGTTATTAGCAACAGCGCTTTTAGTTAAAAAGAACCACACTTACCCTGCTTTTTTTTTCTCTTCCATTAAAAAAAAAAATCTAACTTATGTTTGAGACAGCCACTCCTGATTGGCTTTTTCCAATACTATTATTTGCACATAGTCTTCCGACTGAGATCATCTTTTATCTTTCCTTTTGTGTTGTTGCTATTGCTGTTGTTTTTTTTTTTTTGCTATAGTACCCCTTATATGTCAAACCCTGGTTCTTCCTGATGATGTTATAATACAATTTTGACAATATTACAAAGGTAGTTGTGCATCCAGTGCCACTGTTTGAACACTTAAAGAAGCTTTCAATAGTTGTGTTCTACCCTTTCAAACCAAAGTTTTAAATTTGCATTTGCCAATGCTCCTCTGAACTTTATCAATTGTTGATGTTCTAGTTCCAAACGGTTTTGTTTCACAATACGATATACGCTTCTACTTTTATTGAACTCAGTGGTACATTGAAGTACATTGTAAATAAGTTTTTCGTTGTTTTGCAGTAATAAAGATCCAAAGAAATAATCCCCTATTACCTTTTTCAGTGTGTAACATTTCTGACTAAAATATAAAAGAATCAGAAACTGAAGATAGCTGCTAGTCTCAAAGCAATTGCATAGTTTCAATTATGAAAACAACTTCCATCATTCTAGCGTCAAACCTTATAACTGTGATATACCCCCCCCAGCACATGTTTTCGGCAAGCCGTACAACAGTCTCTTCTCACCTAGCACGATTAGTCCTTATTGAAAGTGATACGTACTTGTGGGAGAAACTCGGCCAAAATACTAGCAGAGCTTTGGGGGGGGGGGGGGGGGGG